GCCAGGGGACTCAGCTTTTGTGTTCTTCAACGCCAGGACGAAGCCTGCCACTCACGGCCGTGTTCAATCGCCATGTCAGACTCGTGTTCATTAATTTCGTCAAGCTGCTGTGCTGTCCTCTGCGCACACGCCCATAGATGCGCACACGCCCACCCACACACACACACACACACACACGCACGCACGCACGCACGCACGCACGCACGCACGCACGCACGCAAGCACGCGCCCACTCGCACCCACGCGTGCACGCGCACACGCGCGCACACGCTCACACGCACATACGCAAGCACATGCACACGCATACGCGCGCACAACAGAACGTGCACACGCACATGCGCCACACGCGTAACGCAGACTTGAGCACACGTGGCGCATGAACAGGCGCCGGCACCCGCACGCACGTGCAAGCGAACGCGCGAACGGACGCTTTGAAACCTGCTGTTTCACCGCCGCAACATAAAGAATTGGCAAATGGGAGCCGTCGTAGCCCATTGCTGAGGTTGCACCAGATGGTTCGTTCGGCCAGACCGGGAGACATGCTTTTCTTCTCATTTTCTGGATATGGGCTGCAGGCCCGGGCTTCCGCTGAGGGCATCTTAGGGCCGCACATGTCAAAGCACGATTCGTGAGCAAATCCTTGTGTATTCTGTCGCTCCTTTGAAATACCAGCTGAGTTCGCACAGCTTCACAACACCTAGCTGCAATGCAGCGTCTTGCATCTGTCCTGCATTCGTCACAGTAGGCCAGCCAAAGGGACAAGTCGTGCGCATTCAGAATCTGGAAGAACTGTTTGCACAGCACAGTGCCTCTGGTTGTGCGACCTTATGACTCAAGGACGGGTGGACTTCCCTTGTCCCTCACTGCGAATGGATCAGCATGCCCCCACACCTCCCACTGCCCGTTGCTTACCCTCTTGTGCCTGCCTGTCTCGAAGGTGGATGACATGGACGGCTACCAGGATGAAGGCTACGAAGAAGCAATCCTGCCGACTGACTTTGTTGATGGCCGTGATGGCGACTACAGCGTCATCTGCACAAATGACCTCCATGATGCTGCGAGCTCAGTGCGGAGGTTCAAGCGAGTTCAATGGGCGACAAAAGACACCTTCGCTATATATCTCAGGGGGAATGTTGGTTTGAGAAAAAGTGTAAGTTCCTCGCCGGACGTACCCAATTGATCTTTGGTTTTGGTCCGGGTAGAGGGCTACAAAGGTAACTCCTGCCATTGTGAACGCAAGGGTTGGCAGGAGCGGGGAAAGTGGCATGAGACTCTGAGACACAGCTGAAAACAAGTCGTCTTTTGTTCAGGCGCGTTGGCTGGGGTCTTTTGCCAGCTGGGACACCGCCCACGCGCATCCCTGTAAACCTCTTCTTCAGTCCTGCTAATGCAGAATACGCGAGACACGTACATGGTTTTAAGCGAAAACCACGCCGTCATGTCCATGTTCGTACGAATGGACGCAAGTACCGCCACTCCCCTTTCCCCGTCTAAACCCTCAAAACCAGTACGAACCCGATGGATGGCGTTGGCCTAAGCGTGGTTGAGCAAGAATGTATGATCTGAAGGAGTTGAAGCGGTTCGCAAAAGGTGCTTTACACGAAGGTTCCTGTATGTGTGGGACAGGTTACTGGACTTGGGATCAGTCCCCATAATGTCAAGTACCAGGTCACATGTCTGTTTGCCAAGACTTTGCAAGAGGGGCCTTTCAGAGGTCAGCGTCAGTCGAGTGATTGGACAACTGGGGCTTTGGCACGGTTTTGGCACACGGCCACATCCATGGTTGCTACTGTTCGAAGGTTTTTGATTTCAGATGGTTCCGTCTTCTTTTCCTTTTTGTTTCTCCCACTTGTATCACTCATTTTCCCTTGCTTGCTCACAATACTCTTGCCATGTTCCCATTCAATGCCATTCTTTCCATATGTTCTTGTGAATTAGGACAATCCTGAATAAGGGGCTTCATCCATGTTCTTGTAATTTCTGCATGAGAAGCCACGGCACAAATATCTGAAAGGTTGCCATCTTCGACGTTTGTTTTGATAAGCGCATGAATGCCTTGAGGTCTTGCTCGGCGTTCCTGCAGACGTTGCTGTGACGGCTGTCATGGCCCGATCCTCAGTGATGGCTCTCGCAGCGGTGCACTCTGACCAGTTGCGTGCTTCACCCTTGCGGAGAGTGCAAGATAGCCACGGGTTGTCGATTGTCAAGGACTGCGATCACGCGACCACGTTGATCGATGTGAGTGGCACGATCGATGGTTCGCTGGTAAGTGGCTTGAAGTTAAGCGACTTCTGCGGCCTCAAGGTGAGTACTGATGTTCAACTATTCGCTGTCTGGTATGGTGCCCAATTTGTCACACTGTCTCAGTCAGTACACAGCGTTACTGCACCCCCAAATCCGAATGTCGTTGTCGGTCCGTCAGGCGCACTCAGCAAAGATGAACCTCGCAAGCCACAATCGCGATGTTTGGCAGGCCACGTTGATAGGGCATCCCATCTGATGTCAGTGATGTCACGCGACACTGACGCATATAGTTGGCTTTTATGCAGGAAGAGAAGGCTCGATCTGTCAAGGCTCGTCCGAGATTTCAGCCAGCCTGACCCTTAGCCGCCTTGTTGAAGTTCATAGGGTTTCGCGCTTGACACCGCCGGCTTCTGTTACACTGTACCTTGCAAGGTCATGGAAATCGAAAATCCGAGAAAAGGAAGGTCGGTGTGCAGTAAGACTCGCCGGGTTTACAGTGCTGTGCATTTGTCGCAAAAAGTTCAGAAAGCACCATTGTCATCACAGTCATGAAGGTTGCCGACGAGACCGGCCATGTCGCGATCGTCGTCGATAGCTTTCTGCTATGCAGCTGCCGGTCATGGGCAGACTGCCATGGAAATGTCGCGCTGGCATGTTTGTTGTCGCTCTTCGTCATCTTTTATTCCTAGCGGCATGCAGCTAGAACGACTCGGGTTGGTACTCAAAGCAAACCAAGCCAAGGGTAGGGGCCACCTCGGCAAGTTTTAAGACGGAGAGGTGTTGGGGTTTTTGTGGGGTCTCTGGCGCTTGGCACCCTCAGGAATGCCAGTCAAGAAGGTAAGAGCATTGCTTCTTTTACACTCGTCCAGTCTTATGCCGATTTGCCTTTCAGACACAGGTTCTCATTGCTTTGGGCAGCCAGGCAAATGTCAATGCCCGGAGTCGACGGGCAAGATCAGACCACCAAGCAGCACGGCGCATCGCACTCGGATGCACCCGCTGAGAGCGCAGAGTGCCCATACAAGAAAATCGGTCGGTGGGCGGTACATACATAGTTAGACAAGCAAAAGCAAAAAGGCCCCCCGCTCTAGCAGCGATAGAACCTGAGAAAACAGAGTGGGGCAGTGGGGGGGGTACCGAGTGGGAACTCCCAGCCGCGCAGCCTCCTTTCGTGTAAGGATAAAAAGAAGGAGACGTCGGGAAAAGGTGGTTTTCTCGTGTGGGCAGAGAAGACACCAGAGAGAGTCGAACACCTCGAGTGGGGTTACCGGTTACCCCGTGCTTTCGTTTATCTTTTTGAAAGGGGGGTCCGCCAGGCGTTCTCTCTTGCCTCAATCCAAGACATGTACTCGCTGTTCAAACACAACAGATGGCAACAGATGTGTTCCTGTCAGACAAAGCGAGTAGGAAACGCAAAGGCATGGCAAGCCCATGCGCACTTGTGCACACATCTCGGCCTGATTCCTTCAAGATGAGCAAGAGGGCAACCCCCACATTTCCGATGACACCGCCAGGGCTTCAAGATCCACACCGGTTTTGCAAGTTCCGATTTTGCGCCTTGACTTGCTGCAAGAGGAACAAAGCAGAGCTTGCTACCCCCCAGGTTCTTTCGTGGTGCTTTACAAAGGCCCTGGAAGCGTGGAGCCCTCAGAGACCATGGAGTCTTCACTGACTGTGGCCCTCATCCGTGCATGGACTGAGCGGGGCTTCTGTCAAACCTAAGATGTATATTATGTCGGAAGCACGAGATAGTTGCGAGCACAGCATGCGAGTTTGTGTTGGTGTCCTGTACCGCTGCCAAATACGAAACAGGATGAGTTTCCTAGGGCACTCGCCCCCAGACAAATTAAGTTGGGAGACCATAGGCTGGGGACCATGGAAGACACTGTCAGAGATGTGGGCACCCTGCGATACGTCGTTGAGCAACCCGGCATGTGACACGCAGTTGCATCACGGCACTGCTTAAGACTCTTCAGTTCCAAGCCGGACACCGGACACAGCACGTGGTCCTTGTAATCTGCGTGGCCCAATGGCATTTGACGGGCCTGTGAGGCTGAACTTTGACTGCACGTACTTCGAGCTGTGGGAGGCCGGGCAAAGATGTCCATACCCCAGCCGATAGCATCTTCTGACATCTGCTGCCTGCGTTTGCAATTTCCTTGCGGCCAGGAGATCCGCCGGCAGATGACGGTTATCCAGCGGAACGCTTTGCCACGCATGGATCAGGACAAGCCCGTCTGAACTGTGCTCGTAGTGTGCGGGCAAGGAGGAAGGTCTGCATGACTTTTGGAGGAAGTGCTGATGACATTTTCCCCTCCGCTGCTCCATTCTTACTGGTACCGTGAGACGAGACCTATGCTCACATGGGCACGCAGGCATCCGAAGATGGTCTGAGGTCCAAGCCCCGGACCATGAAGGCCCTTCAGCCAGTGGATGTAGGGCCCAGTCCCAAGCAGGCGTTGCAACTTGCATGCCGATTAGTACGCCGGCGTGGCTCGGAAGGGGCAGGGAGAGGGAATCCTCGGGAAATGTTAGGCAAGGTAAGTTAAGCCTTTTTTTAGCACAGACGGGCATCTCCGGTGTTTAAAAGGCAGGCTGGAAGACCCAGCAGATGCGAAGGCATTCCGGGTGGCTCAAGGTCCTCGGAGAGGTCCGGAAGGCCCAAATTCCGAGTGCCCTGAGACACAAGATGACTGCTACTGCGTCCCCTCAGACGCCGGTAAGCTTCTAGGGAAAACGAAAACGAAAACAAACAC